CTTGTTATCTAGCATAACTTACGTGATCCATGATGGGGGAGATGGCAGCAGAGTTGACGGGCCTCTCCGTCCTAAAGGTCTTGATGTGATCCATAGTAGCGGAGTCAAACAGCTGAGAGGAAACAAAGATGACAGCAGTATGTTACCCTGAGTCTCTAAGAGCTTGTGATGCAGCTCAGTGAACAGTGCGGTACCTTGGCGGTGTTGTCCTTGGAGGCGCTGATGAACATGGTGAGGTCCAATGACGTCTGGAGGTCGTTGATCTGCTTGGTGTGCTCCTTGACCTTCTTCAGGATCTCTCCATCCTGACCACAAACACCAACAAACATTTAAGATCGACAATAAAAAAAAACAGGTGCATTTTCAGCCAAGCTTTGTCTGCAATCTCACATTAATGTGCTTCATATTTAAAGCGCGTTGAGCACCAGGAGAAGCGCTTTATGAATCACATTATTATATTCTTACACACTTCAATATATTAAGACATTGCTTTCTGAAAAAACAAAACATTGTTGTTGTTACTGCAGCTCACGCCACAGGAAGTGTGTTTTCCCCACCTTGGCGCTGAACTGGTTGAACTCTCCGTTCTCATGTCCTGCGATGACGAACTCTCCCAGAGGCCCCCACGCAGCGCTGGTGATCTTATGGTCGTTGCACGGTATCGACTGGTAGGGCTGGTTGTCCTCTGCACAAATGATTATTAGCATTATGATAGCACTGGGCAGCGTTGAAGCTGATCAACACACTCTCCCTCAGAAGATAAATACACCAGATGGCTCAGAAAGTGTTCAGTTAAATGTAGGGATGGGTAGCGAGCCCCGGTATTAAACGGGCCCCGGGGCTGATTATTAAAGACCGCGGTACCGTTAAGCTCCGACGTTATCGGTACTGGAGACATGTCATGTGTATTATTGCTACATAAACATTATATTGCAGTCTTAGTGTCGCCAACTCCGTTTCTAATGTGCAAAAATTAAAATAAAATGCGTCTATGATGTATTTTCGATCTTTCCAATCCAGACGAGATCTCTCTCCCGCCTGTGTGCGAGGGGGCGGGGCAGTTACACACACAGCTGCTACATGCAGCAACACACACACACACACACACACACACACACTGCGGAGATGGCGGAGAGAACGCTCTCCGAGGTGTGATTAAACTTTACCCGTCTCGATGTGGAGAATACTTGTTACCATAAGTGCAATAACAGTTTCAGCATGTAAGGGCGGTAACACGAGCAATTTGTCTAAACATTTAGCAAAAGTGCTCCACATCCAGACGGAGGAATGCACCGGGTTCCACTGTCTTTCTAGCAGCTCTGTAGCCCCGTCCACGAGTAACGTTTCCACGTCAGGTGTTATGTATGCTAGCAGCAACACACGGAGTTAACTCCATTATACAAACATGGGTTAATGATTAGAGGAAACTGAGTTATTTATTTAGTTAAAGTTTCAGCTATTCTGTTTACAGTTCTGTCATCACATTATTTAATACGATTTGTTAAAACGTTGTTGTTTCTTTTGATGTGAAATATTATGTATTTTATTTAAATAAAAAGCAATGTTAGTTTTGTTCACAATGTGTTTAGTTAGTTTACCTTATTTTGTTCTCCAAAACAACCGATAAGAGTACCGTTAAAAGACCGGATCGATAACCGGTATTGATCAAAGTAGTAGTACCGTTAAAACCTTAACGATAAAATTCAATATTTGCACAGAAGAAACATCATTGTGTTTGTAACAGGAGCACATAACGAGAGAAGAAACATTTGTTACGGTCAATAGTTATAGGAAGGTGCGAAAGTCCACAGTCTGACTAAATGCAGCTGCCGTGTTCCCTTAGTCTAGCAGACACCGACTTCCTGATAAACTAATGAAGGTGGCAGTAACAGACACGTGCACGTACCAATCTGCTGCGGGTCCCTCAGGTCGAAGAAGTTCAGGAAGCACTGGTAACCCATCTGCTTGTCTGTGGAGAACATGATGATGTTCCCGCTGTAGTCGAAGCCACACGTCCTGACCGCTGAGTTGGTTTCCAGCAGAGCCAGCTGTTTACCTGAGAGACACATGGGGGGGGGTGGGGGGGGGGTGTGAGGATCAACAAACTCAAACTACTGGAGGCTATGCAACGAAAAGTCACATAACTGACTTTAGGAGAATTAATAAACACTTTGTTTCACTGCAGCTTCTCTCACTCACCGGTCTGACAGTCCCACAGTCGACAGCTGTTGTCGGCTGATCCTGTCAAGACATTCTTAGTGTCCCCTGAGAGCAGATAGGTTAAGGAACCCAACATAAGATAGGATAAACCTGTATTAATCTCCATAGGGACATTCAGGTGTTAGCTATACAGGTGAAACAAAATATGTCCTCTAGTGCGGCCATATATACACTGTATGTCCTTAGGTACATTAATGCAAGTTGTACAAGGTTACCATTGGGTCACGCCTTGGTTCTGTAACACGTATGCCTCACAAAGCATCACATACATGCAAACCCAACATATATTAGTTACAGATTAAACAAGTTTAGTTCTTGGAAAAGGATACAGTCACAGTCCACACACCACACGGCTCCTGTGTGTCCATTGTAGGTGCCGAGCCGCTCTCCGTTCACCGAGTACCACACGTTGGTGACCTACAGCGACACACAGCACAACGGAGTTTACCAAACCAAACCAGAAGGTGTAATAATATCATGGCACGACACATTTCATGGATTATCATCTTACTGTGTCTTTAGCGACAGAGAAGAGCAGGTCTCCTTCTCTGTTGTACTTTATCTGAGTGATGGACCTCTCGTGGCCCTGGAGCAGGATGGGTCTCTGTGGGGAGAGCAGGTTATGGAGTGTTACACAAAACGTAGGTCAAATGTCAATGAAAAAATACAAGATTTATTAATAAAGAAAAACGGATAGTGGAAAACCAAACTATTTGGACTTCCACAGCAAAAACAGGAAGAGAACAATTATATAATGTATGCAGATTTGCAAATAGTTGATCTGTTTACCGGCACAGCAACCTTTAGATATTTAGAAAAATACCTATAAGCTGTTCTCTTGTATGTATAACCTATATCTTCTTTTAATTACAAAATGTGTTCATTCATTGTAATATCATGTACAACGTTATATTAACATGTTAGTTAAGTGGCTTTTAGTACCTTAATATTAAAACTTGTAATACGTACACATGTTTAAAAAACAACAACATTGTACTATGAACATTTGTCTTCTGTATCTTCATTTATTGTAATATAATGTACACCAGTACAGCTCAAACGGCTTTGACAAATGACTTAATATCAGTAAAAGTAATATAATAATAGTGTATTTATATGATATTGGTAAAAGTATTATAATAATACATTTTATTTAGAGAGAGCTTGTTAAAAATGTATTAAACGACACTTTACGTGTACATGTTAAGATACGTAAAATCCATGTACTTTAAACATGGTGATTTAAATCAACCCTGATCATCAACACGCAGCTAACAGCAGCTCTGATGTTAACGGAGGCTAACTGGAAGCTAACGTTAGCCAGGGTGGATATGCTAACTGAACCGGGGCTAACTTTCTCCTCAAACAGAAAGTCTAGAATTCCGATCGACATATAAAACGTAGGAGATGGTCATAAAGAAATATACTAACCATTTTTGTCAGCTAAGCGTCTCGCGTAAAGAGCGAAAAGATGAACACCATGGATGTAAAATAAGAACACTCGTGTTTCAGGCGCCGGAGCCGCGGCGGAAGAGGAAGGTGACGTACTTCCGGCGAACAACGGCAAAAAGGAGTTATTGCGCCCCCTGGTGTAACACTCCAGTAGCGGTTAGAAAAAAATGGACAGAAATATTCGATATTACTTGTTAGACGCTTTTATCCAAAGCGACTTACATACTCAATACTGTGGGCAATCCCCATAGGAGCAATTTGGGGAGACGTGTCTTAGGGACACAACGACATGCTGACTGCAGTGGGGTTTGAACCTGTGCTCCCCCTGATCCAAACACCAACGAACTAATCCACTGAGCCACAGCCTGAAATATTTAGAAAAATAAGAAACACATTCAAAGATACCAGGAGGCAACAGCAGAAGGTGAGAAAAATAGAGCTAAGTATAAAAAATAGAGACATTCATTTTCATACAATCTTTACATTTTACGGGGATTTAGAAGCGAATTTAGATTGATTAATTGATGGTAAAGCACTAAATAGGCTGCTCAAACTACTAGCTTATTTATTATGAACGAGCCTACACTTTAAAATAGGGAATTCTGAGTTAGAAATACCACATTTTTAGTTATTTTGACACAATGAACACTTTTAGTTACATGTCTTGTTACATAAGAATAGATCATATTTGTTAAGTGTTATTATGGGAGAATTCTTCTTCTTGTGGTACTGCTGGCCTATTAGGCCCATATTGAACAAAGCATATTGAGACCAAAACTCATGTACAACAACTTCCTTACAATAAATAAGCACTTGTTATTAGAGGGTTATTGAGGAACTAATGGCCTAGTACTTGTGGAATATGGTCATATAGAATAACGCATTAATAATTGCTTAATACTGACATTACATCACTTGTTAGACGCTTTTATCCAAAGCGACTTACATACTCAATACTGTGGGCAATCCCCACAGGAGCAATTTGGGGTGAAGTGTCTCAGGGACACAACGACATGCTGACTGCAGTGGGGTTTGAACCTGTGCTCCCCTGATCCGAACTTCAACGCACTAGCCCACTGCGCCACAGCCTCCCTATACTGAGCAATAAAGAGCCAATATACTGCTAACACGACGGTGAATATGTGTACCTTAATATAAAGTGTTACCACATTTTCTGTGCAGCTTGTGTATTTCTTATCAATAAAAGTCTAAACAGGGGTCTGATGGGCAACACCTTGAGTTGGAATGTTAGTCGCTTTGGGGAAAAGCGTCCAACAAGTGACATGTAATGTAAAAGTCAACAAGATCAATCAACCAGCAACACAATATACACTGTTACATCCTTTATTAACAAGAAACAAAAATATACAGGGCCAGATAAAAGTACTGCAAAAGACAAAATAAGGAAACATCTTTGGTTCCTTCTCACGGTCACTGAACCCCCCCCCCCCCCCCACACAGGAGCAGAGAAACAGTGAGCCGTTGGAAAATGAGTCGATGTCTTGTTAACAATGCTACATATTAATTAATACATAAGAATGTCTGAAGATAAACTGACATGTCAAACTACAATTCAAAAGGCCAATAACATTTCCTTATTCCCATATGGCTCAGCCACTGCTCCTTGGAAAGTATTACGCTCAGCTGAGGCGATAACAAGGTTTAATAATCCTACGGTTCTGCTGTGAGACATGTCGCCGGTGTATTACATCCATGCAGGACAGTGGAGATGATGAGTTTACATTCTCAGCTAAGTGCTTGTCGAGTTGCGACTGCCACAGAGTGAAGACCAAAAGGCAAGCGTTGCATAGAGGTCCTCGAACATTCTCTGGTTGAAACCTGATTACACGCTACTGCAATTATCAGGGCTGGGAGGAGACAATCGTAGCCACACACACTTCAAGTGGTCTGGAAGAAAGGCATGAAATTAGAAGCTATGAATTACACACCTTCCAAACACATTGGGAGAGGAGGACATACACACACACACACACCTAACAACAAGTGATCTTCGAGAGGCTAGGAATGAAACATTTGGTCCTAAAAGTAACACGAATATAAATGAATAAAAAACAGGTTTATTTTTAGTGGTGCTCTGTAAGATACATACATTTAAATAATGATTAAACAATAAATACAGAACACACAAACACAGCGGAAATGAATAAGTGTGATGCAAACAAGAAAACATTTTCCCTCAAATGGCCGACAAGCAAGAACTGGAAACTTGTCAAATAATGAAAAAAACAAACTCAAATGCCCTTTAATAATTGTGTAGAATCCTATATTATTTCTGTTATAATTTGGATTGGCTGGAGACATTCTTTACTTCATATTAAAGTAAAGAACTGGAAGAAAAATATGAAATTAGAAGCTCTGACTCACACCTTCCAAAACACATTGAGAGAGGAGGATGCAAAAGGACCTGAGGGGCCACACACACACACAGATGACCTCTCGTCACATTCCTACTTAGCACGCGTCCTCTCAAGCAGCACTGTTGTCAAAAAGGGAATGTGTAGTTGTACAGCAAAACACAGAGGGAGTCGGTGCAACTGAAATGCACACTGATAGTTTGATAAGATATTACTGCAGCCTTCATATGAACTTGGAAGTCAAGTTGGAGAAAGATAACAAAACTTGAAAACGTCGCCTATTAATATATTTATGTTTTGATTCAATGAAGTGAAGGTGGTGTACTGGAAGCCATGTTTCCATACACAACCAGCAGCATGGTGTAGCTAATGGAACCTGCCTGTGGGAATTAAAAAGAGTAATGCATGGATTTGGGGGAGAAATAAGTTTGTGTAAATGCTTTGACTAAACAGTGATCTTAACGAGGGGTCTTCACAGTAATTGAGCTATGTGACAGATGAGGCATTTTCTCATCACCGTCCTAAAGCCTGCAGTGCATGCTGGGAGGACACAAGTTAAGCTTGCTTTCTGATCTGTTTCTGGACCAGTGTTTAACTTCAGCTTCTTCCAGCGGAGGAGGAAGCGGGGGGGGCTTATTGTAGGGGGTTTTGAGGCTGCTTTGCTTCATTCCTGCACAGCGACAGGCAGAGGCTTTGCTTCCTCTCGCAGAGAGTCTGTGTCCAGGTGTGGCTCACAGTGGCAGGAGTGGGAGCAGGGGGGGGCGTCCGGGGCAGGGAGAGAGTCCGTGGGGGGGGGGAGGGGGGGAGTCCGTCCCTGGGGTTGAGGGAGGGGCTCCTACAGCGCCACTTTCTGGACAACTGAGGTTCTGCACCTTCTTGTTGAGCTCGTTGCGCTCGACCTTCAGAGCCCGACGCAGCTTCTCCAGACGCTGGACCTTACCCTGCAGGGCCTCGAAGTCACGGTCACGCACCGATTTCTGTACCAAACACACACGAATACAAAATTATAAAAAAAGTCAGATTTCTGCAGGTCAACTCACTATAAACACTAATATTAGGTTTATAATTTGTTGTTATATCACTGTTCATGTTTTATTGTTTTTACATATTTTAATTATGTTCCTCATTTGTAATTGTGATTTCTTTGTCATACAAGCATGAATGGTGCTATATAAATAAAGTTTATTATTTACATTTCCAATCACAGTTCCAACATGATCCGAATCACAGGAGAAATTGAGCTTTGTATCAGTCGCTCCATTTTTTACTATATTAAACAACACATGAACCCAAAATGTGTGTGTGCAGACAATGCTGTAACTTTAAAGGGGACCTATCATGCAAAATGCACTTTGTGATGTCTTCTCTACATAACCATGTGTCCCCGGTGTGTCGGGGAACTCACGCAGCGTCAGAAAATAAAACCCTCTCTCTTTTCCTCCGTACCCAAATCTCTAAAAATGGGGCTACAACGGAGCTGATCCAGATTTGCCTCCGATATGACGTAATATCTGAAATGTGGACCCACGGCCCAATCAGAAACGTTGCTATCAGAAACAATGCCCGACTGTTTTGGACGTAATATGGTCGGTGTTTACATTAGCATCGCTAACACTCAGAGCTAACCTGTACTGGAGAGCATGTGTGTGAAGAAGCAGGAAGTAAAAAGGAACTCACCTTGTGGTATAACCGGCAAGAGAGAAAGCCTTTGAGCTCCAAACTGTTTCAGAGAGAATCCTTGATAATCCATGATATGGCGTTTCATCACGGCAGCATTTAGTTTAGACAGTAGCTGCCGGGTCCCGCATGTTTTTTATATATTTTTATTAGGGCTGTCAGTCGATTAAAATAGTTAATGTGCGATTAATCGCAAATTAATCGCACATTTTTTATCTGTTCTAAATGTACCTTAGAGGAATATTTTTCAAGTTTTTAATACTCTTATCAACATGTGAGTGGACAAATATGCTTTATGCTAATGTTTATTATCATTTGAACAATGACAAATATTCTCATGAATATTAAACACAACAACCTGTGTGTGTGTGTGTGTGTGTGTGTGTGTGTGTGTGTGTGTGTGTGTGTGTGTGTGTGTGTGTGTGTGTGTGTGTGTGTGTGTGTGTGTGTGATGGATCGTTGGAGCTATGTGCAACTCAAGGCATATGCTCGAACGGGAGCTGCCTGGACGCTGCAATCATGTTGCGCACTATCCGTGCTGAGTGTGCTGACTTCTCGTACAATGTCCCACTGTCTGGCTTCCTGCATAAAGTCAAGTGCTCGGCGCAGTTGTGGCGAAATGTCGCTCCTCTGTTTTCATTTAAACAGCTCCTTATATCCGTTAGCGCAGCTAGCTAGCACCAGATGCTAACAACAGCAATACACGTAAGGTCTCTCTCTCGCTCGCTCGGGCCACACATACACACACCCTCCCGGTCCTCCCAACAGCCAGTCGGTGCCTGCCGGTGAGCGTGGAAGTGTGGTCTGCCACAAGCGGGCGGCAGGAGCGGGGCTGTCAGCATCAGCTTGTAGATGGTATTTTAAACTCGATGCTCTGAAACTACGGGGCGACCGAGGACAAAAAATACACATGCGTTAATCGCGTTAAAATAATTAGTGGCGTTAATTTTTTTTTTGCGTTAACTTGACAGCCCTAATTTTTATATATCTGAGACCTATGCTATTGCCTAAAAATAGCATGATAGGTGACCTTTAAGTTAATTAATGCTAATTGATTTGTCTTTAATAAATCAAATACGCTGGTTAAAAGGGATTTCTACTTTTTCTAGATGCAGCCGAGTTAAGGCAACAGGAGTATTTATGAAACTGCATAACAGTTTTGGCAGCTAGAAGATATACAAGCACTAAAGTAACACTAGAGTTGAAGTTAGGACTTTTCATGAGCTCCGTGATGCTGGAGGACAGGAGTTAAAGTTCCCCAAAATATATACCACACTGACCAATTCTATTCAGTGTAAAGAAGCATTTCTGTTCAGTTTGACAATAAAAACCAATGAACTGCCGTACCTCCTCTGCCATCTCCAGCAGAGCCTTGTTGCTGCTCTCCCACCTGGACCGGTACATGGCCGTCTCCTTCTCCAGCTTCTTGATCTTTTTAGTCATCTGTTAGAGGAAACAAGACGGTCACACCCAGCTACAGGTAAACACAAATCACCCCCCCCTCCATCTTACACTCCCCCAGACCCCTCACCTTCTCCATCTCCTGTTTGAACGTGGTGAAGACCTCGTTGCTCTTGGACAAAGTGCTCTGAAACTCTTCAAACTTCTCCGTGTACAGTGACAGCTGCAACGACAGGTTTGATCATGTTAGGATGCAATAATAACAAAGAGCCAATCACAGTGGAGTTATTAAAGCAGGAGCAAAGACTGATGGGAAACCTGCTGCTTGAGGTGGACTTCCTGCTGCTTCATCAGCTCACACATCCTCTGAGACTCCACCGCTTCTTTCAGCAGCTGAGGAGACGAGGGGAAATAATCAGGACATTAAAGCATAACATCAGGACGTGTATTGTGTAAAGTGTGAGTGTCTTTAAGTGGATCCTTACGAAGTGTTTCTCTCTGTCGTGGCGCTCCTCCGACTCCTTCAGCAGCTCCTGGGCCTGCTGCAGCTTGGCGTCCACCAGCTGCTGCTGCAGGTCTTTGTGCTTCACCACTTTGTCTATGTGCTGGGGTCAGAGGGATAAAGAGCCTGTCACACATCTCGTCTTCATCAACATGTGTCCCCTCTTCTTCAT